CTCCCAAAATCTTTGTTTTAAATTTTCTCAAAAAGATAAAATTCATGATGAAAATCTTTAAATTTCCCCAAATCTAGTAAACTTATTTCTTCTTTTAATTTGTTCCCACGAAATTACGATGATTATTTCACGCAAAAATTACTACATATTTAAAACGCTTACATCCCTTTTCTTTTATTGAAATGTACTAATTTTTTTTTTTATTATCATCCCCTTTTTAAAAAAGCAATTTTTCTAAAAGATTTTTTCCTTTATTTAAAAATTTTGAATTTCCATTTAAAATTTTTTCTATTTTTTTATAAACCTGGTGTACCCATTTACGTTGAAAATTGTTCAATTTATCTGACAAATTTTTTAAAAATTGTAGCTTTAAACTTATCTACATCTTTAAAATTGCAAATTTCAGGGATATAAACGGGGTCACTTTACCTTTAAAATTTTTTTTTTTCAGGACTTTGTTTTTTCCCGCTGTCCAAAATCGGCCCCTTTGACCCTCGCTGGGCTTTTGGCGCCAAATCAACCGTTTTCGGGGATAACCCTAAAAGAACTTTACGGGTTTACATACTTTTAAAAACAAATTTCAAAAACAATTGAACGAGTTGGGAAAACCAAAAAATAACTGGTCTGCCGGAAAATTTTAGGGAAAAGTAATATAAAAAACCTTTTATAAGGGCATTTTTTAATGGGGATTAAATACACCGTTTTAGGGGTTTACATATAAAATCATTTTTACATAAACTATCCGCATGCATCCTGAACTAAATACTTTATTAAATTTTTCAGTTCCATAGTGCACATTTTTGAAAGAAAAACCCTTTAAAATATTTTATAACATGTTACTTGTTTTTCTTTTTGGGAAATAACATGTATACTAATTGCGTCAACCCGGCCCATACACACACTTTCTTTTCCAGATCCGCAATTTTTTTGTTTTTTTCTTTTATCTTTTCCTCATTCCCTTTTCCTTTGCATCTAATAGTTTCCCTAATTTTCTTTAATTTTTGGGCGAGTGTTTTTTATCATGTTCTTTTTTTGTCTTTCTTTAGCTCTCTTATTTTTTTGTTGGTTTTTTTTATACACATCATCAATATACTTCTTATTCTCTTTTTCTAATTGTATTTCACAGGTCTCTTCTAGTTGTTTTAACCTCTTTGTGAAGATTTTCTTTCTCTTCTAGCAATCTTTTCATTGTTTGATTTAGTGGTTGTTTTTGAAGTTCCTTTTTGGGAAGTATTTCATAGCACATATTAAGCATTTTTTGAATCATCAGAATTTCTCAACTTTTCTGCAATTTGTCAATTTTCACAGTTTATTATGTTTCCCCCATGTAACTTCTTTGCTTTCTATATTGTCTGTATTTATGGATGTTATGCCAATAAACTTTTTGTATACAATTTGCTTCATGGCCTCCATTTGAACCTGTTTTATTCCATTATAGAGCATCATCATTATCCAAGGATTCAATGTTTATAGATTCTGCGGAATGACTTTGTTGTTTTTTGATAAAGGCATCTTCATTAATGGCCCTTGTCATCTGCATTAGCAAATAGTCCTTCCTTTCATTCCTTCAGTTTGAGTTGTACTATGTGTTTGCTTTGCCAATGATTTCTCTTTTAGATTCCAATTATTTGAATAGGGCTTGAACATCTATCAATTTAAACTTTTTTGTTTGTAACCTTGTCAGTTCCATTGAAAGCAGCATTGGTTAGGTTAGTGTTAGTCATGTCTGGTGGCTCACTCATTTCTTTGACGTTTGAAAGGGAATAGTTTGATTTGGTTTCCAGTTAGACTGAAAATAATTGGTGACTAACTTTTTATTTTTTTTAAAAGCTGAAAAAGCTGATTTAAAAAATGATACTAATTTTTTTTGTGCAAATTTTTTTTTTTGGTACTTAACTAAAAAACTGAATTGAATAAATAAATTGATTGTTTCTTAAAATTTATTAAACTGACTAAAATCACTTAAAGATTAATAATGACTAGTCCATCTTACTGTCACATTTACCTTTTTGAATACTTTGGAATTTTGGCGTCTTTTTCTAGCTCAACTGCAAGCCAATAATAATCCTTTTCTGATAAGTTGTTACAAACTTTTTCAAAAGCATCCGGTCCTCTTTTTGGTAAGAAGGTCCAACAGTTTGGTTACTTGGTCACGAGTTGTAGATTGTGCCTATATATAGAATGTAGAACAGATGATACTTTACATCATTTTTCCCCACATTTTTCGGAGTATTGTGTGAAACTATCAACTTCTTGTGATTTTTTACTGTTTGCATAGAAATGTTAGCCTGCGGCCCTCAGGCCATTATGCACATCTTCAGGCCATTATCACGTAATGGCGAGCAGCAACGAAGTACTAAAAACTAAATAATGGATCCGAGTTTTACATTGTAAATGGCTTCATTTGTTAAATACATTAGGTGGCAAAACTTTCCAGTAAAAATTGATAAAAAATAACTGTTGCGCCCATTATTAATATTTATCATCTTAGAAATTTTGATGACCAGTCTTCATTCTTTTTAGGCATTTTTTAAAAAAAAAGAAAAAATTTGAAATCTGTTCATCTAAATAGTTTGACATAGCTTATGTTTGCTAGATCCCAAACATTGTTGCACTATATATTCAAATTATTTATTTCTTACAGAATACGAAAAAAATTAAATACCTTTATTTGTTCAATCTGATCCTCTTTAAAGATTTTTGCTTGTATCAGTTCAGCATAAAACTTTGTACCTAAATCAAGATCTTCACAAATGCGAGGACGCTGTCTTCGAAGAGCTGATCTGTGTCTTTCTTCCATATCTTATTTAACTGTATTTCTTCTTTAACTTTTCTTCTGTACTGACAAAGATTTTTCCTCAAATAAAGAATCAAATTCTTAAAGACTGATAATTGAAGCTCTAAAAATAAAGATTATGTGATCCCTTGCTTTTTTTACTGATAAGATTGCCAAAGAACAAACAAATTTTTACCAATCGAAAAAAACACCCTTGGTAACTCTCAAGTGCTTCTTTGTTCATGATCATAAAACATGGTATATATATATATCATACTTTATTGCTTGCTGTATTCTTACCTAAGATGAACTATTCGGATCACCCTGTGTCTGGCATATTCCATACATTGTCAGTCATCAATAGTTTACATCAGACTATAGTCTTTGGTGATCTGCTACAGTCTTCAAATAGCTGTAATTGTTCCTGTATGCCATATGTGCCAAAGTTGATATTTAAAGAATGTCTCGTCCACAACTGCCGGTCTGATTTTGATGAAACCCAGTATGTTTTATAATGTATATAAAAGCTAAATTCATTTTGATAGCTGAACAAATTATGGCTGCTAGAGTCTGAGATAAAGTAGAAAAACTTACATATGACATCTCAGATTTTGATGACACATATTAAAAATTGTCAACAAAAATTAAATTGTTCTGGCTTTCTGAACAGGATGAATTTTGGAGCAAAAAAAAAGAAAAACATAACAATTGGAATACCACATTGATAATATCTTTTATTGAAAATAATAGTTTTCTGCATGATTTGATATGTAAAAAATACAGAGGATGTAATCTTTGTATAATGAGTAACAAATGAATTTATTTTACATCCAAAAAAAAAGAAAGAAAAGAAACTAAAGTCAATATTTTTTTTATTTTCATGTTTAGTTTTTGGCGTTGGTTAGACCAAAATACCATACACAGTTCTATGTATTCAAACTATTGTGTGTGAGGTCCTAATAGACAAAGTTTGACAGTAAAGGCCCAGAACATTGGAATGTCAAAAGTAATTAAGCGAATTTCATAACCATAATATGATATATGAAATAAAAAAGAACCCCATATATGAGTCATAGTTTTATATAAAATAGGGCAATTTTGTTATGTACATTTTGTATACATATTTTACTTGTTTGAATTTTCTAATTTAAACTTTCAAATAACATGTTTTTACAGTAATTACTAATACTTCTGATAGAAACCTTCATTCTTAAGATGTCGTTAAATTTAAGCCTAGGAAGCACTTTAGGTCTTTTTAACAATCACCAAAGGGGAAACCTGGATATATGACTTTTCATAACACAAATGAGAAGGAGTTCTTGATTAAGAATTTATTTTCAGCTGTAAATCTAAAGCATTAATTGATAAAAATTAGGTCCATGGACAAAAAAATAGTAAACACAAATAGCTCTGCGCTGGAGCAATAACTATATACAAAGGAACTTTAGCCCATGCTAAATGTAAATGAATGAATGAAGAAGATTTACATAGTTACTCAATAAAAATCATAATCAACATTTAACTAGTGAATGATAAGAATAAGATGTCTATAAAACAAAACATGTTTAATATCATTAAACTTTAAAATAAACAAAAATGTAAGTTAAAGTTTAAACCCTTAATATTTCTTCAAAAATTTATATTAAGATTATATATGATTTACTTATTGAGTAATATTATGCAATATTATGAAATGATAATATAACCTGTTGTAGTTGGAATCCAACTTTACAACAATTGCTGTTGACAGACCAAATACCCATAAATCTGGCATAAATTTTGCTGAATTATTCCCCTTTAATGTTTTACAGCAGCTGTTATACTGTCAAGCACCGCTTGAACATGCTTTCAGAAAAAATAGCTATTGTGTGTTAAAATGAGTCTTTCAATCTTCTAAACTCTTCTTGGCTCCAATCAGCACAGTGAATTGTAACAAACAAAATAATATCTAATTGGTGAATTAATGAATGAAAAAGCAAATTATATCATTAAAGAGAATCATAACAACAAAGAACATAAACCAACAAGGAAAATTAATAAACCAAGGATGAAAATAGTCCAACAATGAAAATAGTCCAACAATGAAAAACGCCATTATATAAAACAATAAACAATAAACAAATGATATTAAGAATTTAACACTAGTAAATGAATAAACTCAAAACTTATAGTATACATGTGAGTAATTTTATATAAATAAAAAAAAAAAATACAATTAGGCAAAGTATAACAAGACTTTTAAGAAAATTTAAAAGGATTTAGTCAGTTTTTATAATACTACAAGAACATACAATGAAAATATATCTCCAATATAAAACACAAAGCAATTTATGATTATAAAATCTTCTGCAATGACATTTTTGTAGTTCCTTAATGTTAAATTACAATTGTAACATTAAACTAAAACATATTCAAACTTAAATGAAAGCTACCTGTATGTTTTTAAGATAAGTCAAATTTGAATTGCACTTTATAGGTTGCAATTTTAATTTGATATTTTTGTTTTCACTCATTCAGTCCAAGCACCCATCTAAAAGTTGTCTGTATTCTCTTTTGTACACAACATGAAATAAGTAAAAGCCTGTAAACTTAAAACATTAATCAGTCTTTAAGCTTTATCATTGGTTGTATTTTTAACCTGGTGTAAAAAGTGAAAAAAACTGGTTATTGAATAAAGTATGTCAGCAGCGGGCAGATGGGCGATAGGGCGTAAGCAATTCTTCCGTGCACGACTCCTACATTTCTTAAGGGATTTAAACCAAACTTTCACAGGAGATTTGTCATCAATATTTCAGACCCCTAGAGTCAAGGTCAAGGTCACAGTTACTAAATATAGAAAATTTGTTTCAAGTCAATAGGTAGGATTGAGATATTTCAATTAAACTTGGGGTAAAGCAAGCTTATGTAAAGACCTTGTTCACAAGGATAGTTGCTTTTGGGCCTCAAGGGTCAAGGTCACTGTTGCCAAAAATAGAAAATCGGTTGCCAGTCAATAATTAGTGTCAAGAAATGGTCACTGTTTCTAAAAATAGAAAATTGGTTTCTGGTCAATAACTAGATTAAGGTATGAGATTTTAATTAAACTTGTATATTATTTGTATTTCAAAGCGTCACTTTGGATTGCTTTTGAGCAAAGTAGGTTCATTGTCACTGTTACAAAGTTACAGAGTACAACAAAACTTTCTACAATGGTTTTAATTGTAAACCTGGTTTTGTAGCATTGCCATGTTTCTTGTTCATATCTCTATTGATTTTCTTCATATTTAGACATAACAACCTTTGGACAAGAGCTTTAGAAAGACCAGACTGAAATTGGACTTGACTCATTAATGACCTTTTACTGTTTGACATCCATGTTTATAAATTTACTTTTTCTTAACTTGTGAAATCTTGCTTTGAGTAAAACTGATTTGCTTTGGGACATTTTTTCTTGGGGTTTGTGACTGTGGCGTTTGAATATATTTTGGAGTTTTTCTATGTTTACATATCAAATGCCTAGCATTTTCTGCTTGCAGTTCCTCCACTTTCTTTTCTAGTTCCCCAATTTTCTTGTTTTTTTCTTCTATCTTTTCCTGATATGTTTTTTTCTCAGCATTTAATGATGCTTCATAATTTGTTTTTACTTGGACAAGATTTTGTTGATGATTTTTCTTGAGCATACTTTTTTCTTTGGATGCCTCATACACATCTTTATAACCCTTCTCAACCTCTTTCTGAAGGTTCTCTTTCTCTGCTAATAACCCTTGCAATATTTGATTCAATGGTTGTCTTGAAGTTTGACTGGGAAGTATTTCATAGCACTTGTAAAGTATTTTAGAATCATCAAAATTTCTCAACATTTCTGCCAATTTGTCAACTCCACAGTTTATATGTTCCCATGTGACATCTTTGCTCTCTTCATTTTCTGAATGTTGGGATGTTATGCCAATAACTTTTGTATACAATTGCTTCATGGCCTCCATTTGAACCTGTTTATTCCATGGTAGGGCAGTGTGTGTGTTATTTACATCATCTTTCTTCAAAGATTCAATGTCTGTGGATTCTGCAGGATGACTTGGTGTTTTTGATACGTCACCCTCATTAATGGCCTTGTCATCTGCAGTAGCAAATAGTCCTTCTTCAGTTTGAACTTCATTATCGCTCCTATTTTTAGGTTCAACTGTTTTAATAGGACTTGAACTTCTATCATTAAACTTTTTGTTTGTATCTGTGTGAGTTCCATTGAAAGCAGCAGCAGTGGTGAGGTTAGTGTTAGTCATCTCTTGTGTCTGCTTATGCTCATTCAATTTCTCATGACTGTTTGAAGGGAGTTGTTTGATTTGGTTTCCAGGTGAGACTGAAACATAATTGGTGAGTATTACCTTATACTTGGTTTAAAAGGTTAAGTGATACAACTTTTTTTTTGGTACTTACTAAAAACAAGAGGGCCATGATGACCCTTACATCACTCACCTTAATATCAATACTTTCCATGACAAGGAACAAGTTATATTGTAAACTGTAAACAAAAACAGATATAAAATCTAAATCTTAAACTGATGTCACCATTTCATATTTGTTTCCGAAATAGTGCACATGTTAAAACATTATTGGTTGCTTTTTATTAGGGAAACAACAGTTAAATTAGAAGGTTGCTGTACAAAATAAATGGTTTCTTAGGAAGTCAGTGCCTGCTTTAAAATTGAGTGTTTGATAAGATAATGTTTACTATGGATATCACTGATTGCTGTAAAATATTACAGTCCTATAAGGTAAATGGCTGCTTTGAAGTCACTGGATGATATGAAAACTAAGCTTTAGCTTCTGTAAATTTAGAGATTTTTTTTACCATATACATAAAAGAAAAATCAATGTTCCCTGGGCAGGGCCAATTTTGACCTGATGGCTTTTATTTGAATAAAAAATTGTAGAGGTCCACTTGCACACATATAAAGGTCATATGAGCATCAGATGTACATGTATGATATAAAACCATAATAAAGTTGTGTTACATGGTCTTAACATAGGACGTAACTGCAGTTTAAATTGAATTTGCAAAAATAAAACAATTTAATTATAAGGATAATTAAAACCTACAGGTAGCTAGGGCTTAACAGTAATTAATGTATTCCTACATGCACCATAGTAATTATAGTATTGCAAATTGTATTGAGATTTTCTTACTTTCTTATTGTATACTGAAGTTATTTGTATTGATGATTTGGTTAAGAAAGATTAATAAATTAATTTTTTTATTAGATAAATATTTTCTTCATATCTTAATTAACCCTTTCGCTGCCAGAGGGTTATTGTTTTATTGTTCACCTATTTGCCATAGGGTTTTCTAAGAAATTACTATAAATAAAAAAAAATATTATTTGTTATTAGTATTATAATAATTACATAAATTATGTTACCAAATATGTTATAATCATAATAATTTTGGTCAATGGTATAATTTTCTTTACATTTATTATTATTTTTATTATTATTATTATTAATTTATTATTATTACTATTATTATTATAGAAACGGCTAAAGCCGTCCATATGGCAAATACGCCGAAAATTACAGGGACAGCTTAAGCCGTCCCTATGGCAGTGAAAGGGTTAAACATGAATTAAAACAAGAGGGCCATGATGGCCCTAGATAGCTCCACTGACCCATCAACCGCATCCAAGCAAAGTCTTAGAAAAGCAATCTGGCCAAGTTTGATGACAAATGAGTAAAACATGTGACCTCTAGTGTGTTAAAAAGGTTTTTCCATATTTGGGCAGTGTGACCTAGTTTTTGACTGGAGACAAACCATATTCAAACTTTACCTAGAAGTCATCAAAACAACATTCCTGACCAATTTCCAGGAAATTTCGATCAAAACTGCAGCCACTAGAGTGTTAACAAGCTTTTTCTATCTTTAGAACCTGTGGCCTTGTTTTTGATTTGAGATGACCTATCTTTGAACTTGACCTAGAAATCATCAAAACAACATTCTTGACAAATATCCAGAATATTTGGATCAAAACTGCAGCCACTAGAATGTTAACAAGATTTTTCTTTTTTTAGCTCCTGTGACCTAGTTTTTGACTGGAGATGACCCATCTCAAAATTGACTTAGAAATCTTCATAACAACCTTCTTCACAAATTTCCAGAATATTTAGATCAAAACTGCAGCCACTAGAATGCTAACATTATTTATCTATTTTTAGCTCCTGTGACCTAGTTTTTGACCGGAGATGACCCATCTTCAAAATTGACATAGAAATCATTATAACAACCTTCTTCACAAATTTCCAGAAAAATAAGATCAAAACTTCAGCCACTAGAGTGTTAACAAGATTTTATTTCTTTTGAGCTCCTGTGACCTAGTTTTTGACCAGAGATGACACATCTTTAAAATTGACCTATAATAATCAAAACAACCTTCCTGACAAATTTCCAGAATATTTGGACAAAAACTGCAGCCACTAGAGTGTTAACAAGATTTTTCTATTTTTATCTCCTGTAACCTAGTTTTTGACCTGAGATAAGTTAACCCATCTTAGAATTTTATCTCTATTTTATTGGGACAAACATTCTGACAAAGTTTGATGATGATCCAATCAAAACTGTGACTGCTAGACTGTTTTTGACCGGAGATTACCCATCTTCAAACTTTACTTAGAAATCATGAAAAATAATCTTCTTGACAAATTTTCAGAATATTTGGATCAAAACTGCAGCCACTAGAGTGTTAACAAGCTTTTTCTTGTTTAAGCTCCTCTGACCTAGTTTTTGACCGGAGATGACCCATCTTTTAAATTGACCTAAAAATCATCAAAACAATCTTCCTGATAAATTTCCAGAATATCGGATCAAAACTGCAGCCACTAGAGTGTTAACAAGCTTTTTCTATTTTTAGCTCCTGTGACCTAGTTTTTGACCTGAGATAAGTTAACCCATCTTAGAATTTTATCTCTATTTTATTGGGACAAACATTCTGACAAAGTTTGATGATGATCCAATCAAAACTGTGACTGCTAGACTGTTAACATCCAAATTGTTGACGAAGCACGATGACAGACGCCGGACATAGCCCCATCACTATATCTCACCTTGACCACTTCGTGGTCAGGTGAACTAAAAATGATAATTAAAAAATCTTATTTATTTTCTTGTTATAATTGCAAAATTTTACTTTATCTTATGGAAGGGAGATAATTAAGCCAGAATGGAATGCATATAGTTTTTACTATTTTACTATATACAAATAATGAAAACCAATGACCCCCCGGAGAGGGTCAATTTTTACAATAGGGCTTTGTTTGATCAAGCTTTGAAGACATCCACTAGAAGATGTTTCTTGCCAAATATCTAAACTGTAGTGCTTTTGGATTTTTACAAGAAGATTTTTAAAGTTTTTATTATATATACATATAAGGAAAATCAATGACCCCCTTGTGCTTGCCAATTTTAAAAGACCTTTGGGCTTTTATTTGAAGAAACATGGCAGACATCCACTAGAAGATGTTTCATGCCAAATATCTAAGCTCTAGCTCTTACGGTTATTTACAAGTATATTTTTTTTCTTTTGGTTGCTATGCCAACTAGCATGGAATGGAATTCTATGTACAATTTTAAAGGGCTTCCTGCAAGGAACATTCCTACTTAGTTTTAATAATATTGGCCCATTGGTTAAGGAGGAGTTGATGATTCAAGAGTTTAACACCACTTTTTGAAAGACACACTGACATACAACGGACGCAGCTTGATCACAAAAGCTCACCCTTGAGCACTTTGTTGTCAAAGAAATGAGACAAAACATTTTCAACTCAAATATTGTCCAAGGTTAAAATTCTTAATTGTTTCTTCAAATTTATTGTACTAACTAAATCAACATGATTATGAAGATTAATACTGACTAATCCATCATACTGTCACATTTACCTTTTTGAACATTATTTTCAAGCGCATCTGCAAGCCAAGAATGATCCTTTCTGACAAGTGTTAAAAACTTTTCAAATGCCTCTGGTCCTCTTTTGGGTAGAAGGTCCAACAGTTTGTGTACTTGATCACAAGTTGTAGGTTGTGCCTATAAGAAAATGTAAAACTGATAATATTTGACATCTTTTTTAACCAGGTTTCCAACAAAAACCTGGTAATTGTAATGCCGAAGTCTGCCGGTAGGCAGACGGGCTGACAGGTGTCAACTTTTGGTTTCCACTCAATTACTTTAGTTTGCTTTGGCATATTAACACCAAAATTGGTGTATAGCTTACATCAAGAGGCAGCTTGGGATTGCTGCCCAGGCATCGGTCATCGAGGTCAAAGTCACTGTTACTAAAAGAGAAATTCAGTTTCAGCTCAATTTTTTAAGTTTGTTTTGGCGTATTGACACCAAACTTGGTGTATGGCAGGGCCCTCAATCCAATTTGGGGGAAGCGGGTCGCTACCCTCAGCAGGGGGAATTTTAGTGTATGGGGGGAATTTTTCTCTTTTCTTTTATTATCAAATACACTTATTTAAATATCAGCTGTTTTTTATTTACATGTAAAAAATCCATAATAGGTAACACTAAACTGTTCAGAAGTGATTGATAAGATTTGAAGAAAACTTTTTAACACCTTACACCATCAGATCTTTATGCTGCTTAGCCTAAGACAAAGCTTCCTTTTCTTGACTTTGTAAAACATTTGTAAAAATCGGCCCCGCGAAAATATGTGACATTGAATGAAAATTTATTTGTTTTCTGTTTACACATCCACAATTCTAGTTGTTTCTGATGTAAATTATATAAAATTAAATTGATTGTTTATTATAAGATCGTTTTTCATCAGTTATTTAATAAAGTATCATGAAAACAAAACTTACAAGTTTGTAATTCACGGCAAAATTTACCGTGGTTGATGTAACATTTTAAAGACAAAAAAATGATTTCATGAATAAACAATTTGAAATCAAATTGTTGATGGGAATTGTGATTTTCTTCTGCATATTTCTGTTGAAATTTTAGCATTTTTACAGGATGAAAGGCCAATATGTGACGGTAGATTTTGGGGAAAACAACAAATTGAAACGTGCAGACATGTACTGTACGATATTCCGCTTACAAAATAGACGTCAAATAGATGGATTTTAATTTTCAAAAACAATATTAGTTTTAATTTTTCTCTTTAACACTTTATATGTTTTGAGGGGGAATTTTTACCTCTGTTAGGGGGAAAAAAACATACTATTTTGATGGGGGACTGCGGCTGAATATCGGCCGCAGATTTGGTTGATCGAGGGCCCTGTATGGGTAGGTTATATCAAAAGGGAGCTTGGGACTGCTACCCATGTGTCAGTGTTCAAGTCACTGTTACTAAAAATACGGGGCGTCCGTGGCCGAGTGGTTAAGGTCGTTGACTTCAAACCACTTGCCCCTCACCGCTGTGGGTTCGAATCCCGACAGGGACTTTGGATTCTTTCATGTGAGGAAGCTATCCAGCTAGCTTACGGAACGTCGGTGGTTCTACTCAGGTGCCCGTTCGTGCCTGAAATAATGCACGGAAGGGCACCTGAGGTCTTCCTCCACCAGTAAAGCTGGAACGTCGCGATATGACCTATACTGTGTCGATGTGACGTAAAACCCAAAACAAAACAAAAAGTTACTAAAAATAGAAACTCAGTTTCAGCTCAAGAACTTGAGTTTGCTTTGGCCTATTGTTTGGCCTATTGCCACCAAACTTGGGTAGCTTATATTACAAGGCAGCTTTTGATTGCTACAGAGTGTCTGGGATCAAGGTTAATGTATTTAGTTTTCACATAATAACTTTGCATTGACCTTTTGACACCAAATTTGCTGTGTGGCAGCTTTGGATTGTCACTTAGATATCTGGGAGCAAGGTCAAGGTCATTTGCTTACAATAGAATGTTCAGCTTCTACTCAATAACTTCAGTGCATTTTGACCTATTAATTGATGTCACATCAAAACTTGGTTGTTGAAAACCTGGTTTTCGTCACATTGCAGCGTGCAAAATAAGTTTTTCTTTTGTTTAGGGTAGATATGTCTATAGTCTGTGACTGCGTCTTGTTTTGTCATTTGGCTTATTTGTCCCTCCAATATGAATGCATCTAATATGTTTGTTTTCTCTTTACCTGGTCACATTCTATGTAATTAACCTGAGTTTTTTAACCCTTACCAGATGTGACGTAAATGGGGGATTGTATTATACAAAACTGCGTAGAATGTTAGCTTGTTTAAAGTAAATTGTAAATACAGATCTTTTAATGACGGTTACAACATGCATACATAATTTCATAATAAGAAATTAAAAAAGAAAATTCAAAAACAAAGATTAATTATATGCCCGAAAGAATTTCAGACATATTATGTTATACCCCCTGGCTTCCGTCTGTCCGTCCGTTAGCAATTTGGTTGCCGGAGCATTACTTAAGTTCCAGTTGGCCCACAGTATTCAAACTTCATAGGATGATTGCCCATATTGGGTAGAAGACCCTTATTATACCCCCGCACAACAAAGTTGTGAGGGGGGTATACTGGAATCAGCTTGTCCGTCCGTCCGTCCGGCCGGCCGTCAGTCTGTCCGGCCGTCCGTCCGTCGGTTTTTTCTTGTCCGCCCAATAACTTAAGATTCCTTTGACCCTTAGTCTTCAAATTTGGCATGGAGGTTAGTCATGATTAGTAGATGACCCCTATTGATTTTGAGGTCACTAGGTCAAAGGTCAAGGTCACAGGGGCCTTGACTTCAAAAAGCTTGTCCGCCCAATAACTTAAGATTCCTTTGACCCTTAGTCTTCATATTTGGCATGGAGGTTAGTCATGATTAGTAGATGACCCCTATTGATTTTGAGGTCGCTAGGTCAAAGGTCAAGGTCACAGGGGCCTTGACTTCAAAAAGCTTGTCCGCCCAATAACTTAAGATTCCTTTGACCCTTAGTCTTCATATTTGGCATGGAGGTTAGTCATGATTAGTAGATGACCCCTATTGATTTTGAGGTCACTAGGTCAAAGGTCAAGGTCACAGGGGCCTTGACTTCAAAAAGCTTGTCCGCCCAATAACTTAAGATTCCTTTGACCTACAGTTGTCATATTTGGCATGGATGTTGATCATGATTAGTAGATGACCCCTTTTGATTTTGAGGTCACTGGATCAAAGGTCAAGGTCATAGGGACTTTGACTTCAAAAAGTTTGTCCACCCATTAACTTAAGATTCCTTTGACCCACAGTCTTCATATTTGGCATGGATGTTGATCATGACTATAAGAAGACCCCTATTGATTTTGAGGTCACTGGGTAAAAGGTCAAGGTCATAGGGACCTTGACAAAAAAAAGCTTTTCTTCTCAATTGCTAAAGAATGTCCTGTCAGCAATGTATTGATTTTGACATTTTCACATTTGAAGCATGTAGAATACATAACTTAGCAATGCACTGGTTTAGTAACCTCAGATTTGGTAGGGAGGTTGTCTTGAGCTCTAAATGGCCACTGTTGATTCTGACAAAGTGGTATGCGGGGGTATTCACGCCATGATAGTGGCAGTTCTAGTTGATTTGGGGGTCACATAGTTAAAGGTCGAGGTCACTATAAACGTAAAACTGAAAATGGTTTCCAGAGCATAACTTAAGTTGCTTTTGGCCCACAGTTTTCAAACTTCATAGGCAATTGCCCATATTGAGTAAAAGACCCCTAATGATTTTGGGGTCACATAGTAAAAGGTCAAGGTCACTATAACCGTAAAAGTGAAAACGGTTTCCAGAGCATAACTTTAGTTCCTTTCGGCCGACAGTTTTCAAACTTCATAGGATGATTGCCCATATTGGGTAGAAGACCCCTATTGATTTTGGGGTCATAAGGTCAAAGGTCAAGGTCACTATTACCGTAAAACTGAAAATGGTTTCCGGAGCATAACTTAAGTTCCATTTGGCCCACAGTTTTCAAACTTCAAAGGATGATTGCCCATATTGGGTAGAAGACCTTTATTGATTTTGGGGCCACAAGGTCAAAGTCATTATAAGCTTAATACTGAAAATGGTTTCAGGAGCATAACCTAAGTTCTATTAAGTCCACAGTATTCAAATTTCATAGGATGATTGTCCATTTTGTGTAGAAAACCCCTATTAATTTTGGGGTCAAAAGGTCAAAGTTCAAGGTTACAATCACCTTTAAACTGGAAACAGTTTTTGCTCAATAACTCAAGCATTAATCAACTTACAGCCAAAGAACTTTCGGGCATATAATGCCCCGCCTAGCGTAGCTCTGGTTAATTCTTGTTACGAGGTAAAACAACAGAATTTCAAAGTGAATATATCTATTAGATTTTCTCTAAAGCTAGTTACTAAATCAAATTTTAATATTTAATAAACACCCATACACTGTTAAATTACCTTATCCAAATTTAAATGTTGATTTATAGTTTTCTGTTTGATTTTCATTTAGAAAATTCCGGCGTTTTTGTGACAAACATGAAAATAAGATTGTCAATGATTTTTATGCCCCTGGGCATATAGTGATTGAACCATCTGTCCGTCTGTCCGTACGAGGTTAACTTAGAACGGCAAGTTGGAATTTTCTTTAGTTCTACCTGTACCAATGGCTTCTAAGTTTCACACTTACTAATCAATACAAAGTACATGATCTGGGCAAGTTACATAACTCTGGCTTTCATATTTACCAAGTTATTGCCCTTTTCAGCACTTACAAAATGAATAATGGCTAACCTAAAACGGCTAGTTGGAAATATCTTAAGTTCTATCTATACTAATGGCTTTATAATTTCCACACTTACTTATCAATACAAAGTACATGATATTGCCAAGTTATTAACTGTGTCATCCATATTTCCCAGTTATTTCCCTTTTTTCACATTGAAAATAGGGCCTTGTCTGGTTAACCTATTTCGGCAAGTTGGATTTATCTTAAATTTCTCCTAATTGCTTAATTTCTTTAATGATATCTTTCATATTTAGTAGGTGGACACCTTTGATGGTCCTCTAATTTTTTGTGGAGTAAGCGGTCTCTAGGGTCAAGGTCAAGGTCACTGGTTTAAAAAATAAAAATAAACATTTTTGCTCATAAAGCCATTATATTT